ATGGCTAAAGCTAGCCTTCATGGTCGGAACACCCAAATCCGACAGGGATTTACAAAAAAAAAAAAAAACTTTTCTAAACCCTAACTCTGGTCGGAACACCCAAATCCGAGTCCCCTTTCTTGGAAAACCTAGTTTTTTCCCGTAATAAGCCATGCATCGGGAATTCCAAAAGTCTAGACACTTTGGCCCTTTTATTTAATACGGACTACTCAATAGTCAGTACTCCACATGAATAATCCCACCTTTTGATAGTCTTCTAATATTAATACTACATATGAGTTATTCTAAAATAATCCGATCTAGAGAAGGCATCTTCCCAAACTAGTTTGGTAACCAGAATACAAAATTTCATTAGGTCACCCCATCACGTGTCAGAATATGATTGGGTTAAATGTTTTATTAATGTTTTCCTTTTCTTTTCTTGCATTTTCTTTTATTTCTCTCTCTCTCCTCAGTTCCACTGACCCCCTTCTTCTTCTTCGTTGCCTGCTTCTCATTTTTCTATCTTCTCTGTTCTCCGCCCTCCTCTTATTAATTCTTCACAACTTTCTCGATTTTTGTCCCCTTCTCTTCTTCTTTACTTCAAATTTATTTCGACATTCGCGCCTGCCAGAAATTTGTGAAATCTGTGGAGAAATTACAGAATAAAGAGCATCGGTAAAAAGTCTCGAGAAATTTTCTCAGCCAAGCTTTTAGCGGCGCCATCTCTGTCGGTCATCTCCTTCTTCCATTATTTGATTTAAATTTTTTCAAGAAAAACATTTTAGTGCCATTGAGGCGTCCAAGGGATTCCGGCGACATAATGAAGAAGTTGGGATATTCAGTTGAATCATCTCTTGTCATCATCCTCATTATCCGATTTGTAATGTTCATGGACAATCTATCATTTTTCATCCAAGATTCAAAGATTAAGGCTCGGAACAATGAAGCTTTATTTTGGGAAGAAAAGTCTCGACACATGCCAGATTGCTGTTCTTTTATCCTTTTCTTTTTTTGTCCCCTATTATTATTACTTGTTTGCATTTCCCTTCTTTGTTTACCGGTTTAGCAGGTCTTGGGTAATGGGGATCAATTTGAGAAGATGTCATGTTAATTTCGGATTATTTTAGAATTACTAATATTTGGGATTAATATTAGAAGGCTGCTAATAGTTAGGATTATTGGTGTGATTTTTTTTTTGTTTGAAGGTTATTGAATGCATTGTCTTTGTCCAAACAGTATTAATTAGAAGTTCGAAATTTAAACTCAATTTTGTTCGGCCAAACACTGCAAGCAATTAATCAATCACCCCACCCAAGAACGAAAAACACAAAAAAGAACAAAAAAATATCTATGTTCGCGCCCAAAATCTCCTCCCCACTATTTTTTGTACCCCATATTATGTACATATAGATATGAGTAATATACTACATCCGTTCCAATTAACTTAGTCATCATTGACTTTTGTAGTCAATGATGGTAATCTTTGGGTGATCATTTTAACATCTTTGGAGTATATTTTAGTGACAATCATAAATTTTATATTTTTATGATAATATTTAACCAAGAATGTTTTCATATTACTTTCATATTTTAAATATCTTCATATTTAAAGATATTCTTGGTCAAGTCTAGTATCTTTGACTGGAAAAGTCAAAGATGACTAACTAAATTGGGAGGGAGGGAGTACGTCTCTACTTCCAATTCTACCCCAACCTATAATTTCTAATAGATTTAGTTATTAATAAAAAAAATCACAGCTTTAATAAAACTAATATGTAGGCCACTACCATTGAAAAAATCTTAGTTTTAATTAAACATAATGATAAATTAATTTAAAAAAATGGGAAAAAATAAAATAAATATAAATCATTTTTAAAAAAATAAAAAACTTTAAAAAATCTTAAAAAGTAAATAAAATACCTAAAAAATATTTTTTAAAAAAACAATGTATACCACCACTACCATTGAATCCTCCTCCATCTAGCTCTACCACCTCCAATCATCCGGTAAAAATGTCATTGTGTAAAAAAATGCCACATTTTTCTATAATGCCATCAAGATCACATTTCTACTCTTTGAATTTATCCAACTCCCTTTTCAAAATTATCATCACGATGACATTTTTTTTCAACCTGGCAATTTTTTTTCGACGACCAGAGGTGGCGGTGCTTGAAAATGGCTTAGGTGGTGGTTGAGGTCTGTATATTTTTTATTTATTTTTTACGGAAAAATAATAAGAATACTCTAAACTTTCAAAAGGTGTGAGCTAAACACCCCAAACTTGCATATGTAATTTAAATAGCCTAAACTTTAAATAAAAAGTTATTTTTGCACCATTATTGTCATGTATTATTTCTTTGAAATTAAAAATGTAAATTTATGGGGCTAATTCCATAATTTAAAATAGAAAATTAATAGTGTTGCAATTATATAGATTAGGGGTAACCTTATTTATTTTCTAATGCAAGCTTACAATGTTTATTATGTCTTCATGAATTCTAAAATATTTTAAATTATGCAAATAACACCATAAATTTAACATTTTTGAAAGAAATAATAGTTGACTATGGTGCTAAAATAACGTTTTATATAAAGTTTGAGATATTAAAATTACATATGCAAGTTTGGGGTGTTAATTTTACACCCCTTCAAAGTTTGAGTTATTTTAATTATTTTCCCCTATTTTTACTACTTTTATTTTTATTTGGTTATTTTTTATGTTTTATAATGTTTATTTAAAAAATCATAATATATTAGAAAGGACAAGGGAAAGGGTAGAATTGAATACGAAGAATTATTTTCCCCTATTCGATTGTACAAGTTTGTTAAAAGAATAAATATAAGAATCAATAGTATTTGATGGATAGTCTACCCGGGGGTATCTTATCCGAGGGGTTATTGTGGGAATAACAAGAGAGAAGTCAGAGCGAAATAGGAGGAGAGAGAGTCGATTTATTAAATGAACTCCAAGTGTGAGAGTTGGGATGTGGATCGTTTACAAGGAGAAATGGGCTGCTATTTATAGCAGCAATAAATGCGATGAGAGTACACGTGTCAGCAATCCGACGGCCGAAGGGTCACGTCAACTGGGTGGCACCGGCAGTGGCATGTTCGCCGCATTAAATGCGGTGGGTGGATGTGACGCTGCATTAAATGCGGTGGTTGGCTGTCTCCAGAAGGAATCTTCGATGGTGGAGTTGTTGGCCGAAGGCTCCCCCTTCGGCCGAGGGCTCTGTGTAGCCGAAGGCACCATAATGCCGGGGGCATCATTCATGCCAGGGGCACCTGTTGGCCGAAGGCTACCATTTGCGTCGTTTTCTCCCAGTAGCTTGACAAGCTCGAATCTAGCCGCCCTATGTGATTTGGAGCCCTCGGCATGGGAGGCCGAAGGCGTTCCAGTGCGTATTCTGGGCTCCCTTGATGCTTGGGCCGTTGTATTTGGGCCTGAGACTCTCCCCGGACCCAGTGGGCTTGTCTAGGAAAACTAGGAGTCTAAGGGCCGGGGGCTCCTGGGCCATATACTCCATCAGTATTATATCAGTGAAATTCTGTGTATGTTGTGAGTTAACCCATTAAGAAAAAATAAACTATTACTTTGCTTCATCGTTAAACGTTAACACATAAAAATATAATTTCAAATTAACAAATACTAGTATTTAACTGCAAATAATTAGTTTTCAAAAGAAAACTGCAAATAAGTAAACAAAATTTAGCAAAATAATTATGAAAAGAAAACTAAACAATTATTAAAAGGAAAGATTGATTGCAACTATGTTCGTATCACATGTAGAAATGATGAGTGTAACGTCTGTAATGATTAATGTTCTTACTCATTGAGTTGTGTAATAGAGAATATAACAATTGATCATAAGGAGATCGAGATTGTTGAGCATGCATTCTCAAAATTTGAGTTTTCTTATATATAAAAATAAATGTGGATGCTTATGCATGTTTAATTTATTTTTGTAGAAATCTGTGTTGCTAGATGAATCACACTTGTTTCATTTATTTTTTTTAATTGTTTTTATCATATTATACAGCAGAATTTACTTCCAGTAGGACCAAAACATACTGTTCTTTCCAGAGTATGATCATATGTTTGATTTTCCTGAACATGACTAAACATAACATTTCTACTCCTATTTTAATTAATTAATATAATAACTTGCCCATACGTAGTACTTCTATTGCATAACCAAAGTCATTTTGTGGGTGACGGATCACTCTGATGACGGTGGCAACGAACTCTAATGATGTGTGGAATTGTGGATGGTGGTGAGATTCAAGCAGATGGATGATGTGCGGATGGTGGTGAGATTCAAGCAGATGGGTGCTGCGGTCTAGGTGAAAATTCCAATAATCATTAGTGACAGTCCACATTTAAAAGTCTACGAACTTTTTGAAAGTTAATAAAATTCATTCATAAAAAATGGGAAATTTACCGGGATATGACTGAAACCCAATGAGTTTCTCAATCTATGACCTAACTAGTTTTTATACCTTTGTATGACCGAAAATCCAAAAACAAATAGAAAATTCGTTTATATTTAAATGTTGAATGACGAAAATATCTTTATTTAAGATATGTACATTTTGCACTAATTTCGTCCAATTAAAATTATTGCACTTTATATTGCCGTTAATGCACAAAATTAATGCACGTCTTTACTGCACATCCGGTAATAATCACTGTACTTCCACAAAATTAATTCTCTTCTCATTCACTCGAGGAATTTGTTTTTGTTTTTATTTTTGTTTTTAGATTTAATAATTTTATTATTTTACGTCTCATTAAGTATATTGTGTTTCATGGTGAAATTACTGATATGTTTTACGGCATTATCGGTCATAATCAGTGCACAATAAACTTCATTAATGCATTCATTTAGTGACATGTACAACATATATATTCCCATATTCACGATCATGTTCACTGCCAATATCCAATGCTTATATTTAATGCCCACAAACCCTAAATTCACCCACAATACTCAACAATATCTATTATGATTTCACTGCCCATATTCATTGCGCATATTTAATGCCCACAAACTCTACTTTTAGACTCATAATTTAAAAAATGGAAAAGCAAAAATGTGAATGGAGGGCCACCTAGTAGCAAATCTAAAGCAGTGGCCTACAACTTGTCTAACAAAAATCTAAAAACCCATCTTCAAGCTTCACGTAACAGGCCCATAATAATAACATGCCCATCTTCAATAATAACATGACCTACGCCGCACTCCCCCTCCCTGTTAGAGTTTTGGCAAAACTCCAATGGTTAAGGTAGCGCATGGGACAAAGGCGATTGGCTTGGCGGCTAGCTGGGCAGCAGATCAGATGGATCGGGATGTGGTGGTGCGCATAGATCGGTACGGCGGCGGCGGCCTTGTCTACGGATGGCGGCGACGCACTTGTCTAGGGACGACGGTGGGGGCTGGTGGTTTCGGTCTGGGCGGTGGCTGCGACAAGGAGGCGTGGGGCTGGGGTGGCCGAACAATCAAGCGACTGGCTGCAGCGACCGTTCTCTTAGACGACGGCCCATGGGACAGCGACAGACGGCGGGGCATGGGGCGGTAACGGCAGTAGCATGCTGCTGCGGGTGGATCTCTGGAGGGGTGAGAATGAAGGTTAGGGTTGAAGAAAATAGTAGGATCTTAGGATTTTATAGATATAATTTAATGGGTACATGTGTTCACCTAAATTATTTATTTACTTATTAATTACGAATTTTAATTGAATATTATGATTTTTAATATTATTTTAGTAAAAAAACTAGTTAGGTCTGATGAGATCCGGTGCATTAGTGCTGGTATGATCGCTGGTGCAAAAAGTGAGGAAGTTTTCTAAAAAAATATGTGATTTTGTCAAGATTTATAGATCTATTTAAAAGATCATGGATAAAAAGAGGGAAAACTATCAAATAGGTGCTTCTACTATATCAAAAAAGTTAATTAAGTCCTCGTACTTTAGAATCAATCAATCTAGCCCCAACTCATAACAAATGTTCAACTGGGCCGTTTAGCAGGTGAAGAACAAGTTTGCGGGTTGCAAGGCTACATGGACCTCCATTTGGCTATGTTTTTCTTTTTCGTTTTTTTTGTTCCTTCTTTCTTTCTTCTGGCCGTTCGCACACTCATGAGTCATGACTCATTTGCACCTACACACCAAAGAGAAAATGAAGAATCAGAAATCTTTCTCTTTAAGGCTCTCCGCCCATTATTCTTATTGATCTTCATTCTAAGTGAGCTTTCCAGTTCTCAAACCTCTTCCCACAAAGGAGATGAACTAAATCTGGAATTGCTGCCATCTTCGGAGTTGTAGCTTGTGGCCGCCATCGCCAGAATCATTCCTCACTCACAGGCTAAGCAAATGGAGAGGTGCGGCTAGATCTACGCAGTGGCGTCTTGCAAGATGGATGAAAATGAAGGCTGACTGGACTAAGTTGCAGAGGACGGCGAGGTAGACACCGGCACACAGGTGTGGTCGAAGAGGATGCCGAAAATGCTCTGCGTGAACAGAATGGAGGAGACGAAGGGAGGATACAAACATTGGGAACCTTACAATTGCGTCTGCGAGTGGTGGGTCGGTGGCCGGCCGTCGAGTGTCAAAAACATTGGGTGTTGCTGCCGAGGAAGGTGAGGAACGGTGAGGGATGCTGACAGAGGGGGTTTAATGCACCAACCTGTGATATGGAAATTCGGCGCATTAGCCCCTGTGATTTGAAAAATGCGTGAAACTCCCCTGTGTTTTAATAAATTATACACAAAATCTCTTTTATGAATAAATTCAATTGTCAAATAAAAGAAAAATTATTAATATTTTTAAATGATTTAGACATTTTGACATATTTACTTTCATATTCAATCAAAATATTAGAAAAAGTGATTTTCAAATCATTAAATTTATTTACAAGAGGGGTTTTGTGCATGATTTATTAAAACACAGGGGGTTTCACGCATTTTTCAAATCACAGAAGGCTAATGCGCCGAATTTCCATATCACAGGGGAGTTTGGTGCATTAAACCCGACAGAGGGACATGGAAGAGAAAGATTAACCAGAAGACAAGTTGGAAAAATAAAGAAAACTAAAATAATAAAGACTGGTTGGAAAAATAAGCTAAAAATAAAATATAAAAACACTAAAAAAAAAGCCACGTGGATAGTCCACGTAGACGGTCAACCGGGAAACTTGTTCTTCATCGGCTAAACGACTCAATTGAAATTTTTTTATGAGTTGGAGAGCTCAATTGATTGATTCTAAGGTACGGGGACCTAATTGACTTTTACGACATAGTAGGAGGATTTATTTGACAGTTTCCCCTTAATCCATTTCATTACACGGTCAAAATCTCACCGCTTGGGAGACTTGATCGGTTGTGGTGGGCCTGTGGCATCCACAACCTCAATATTGCGGCCCACAATTTAAAATCCGGATTCCTTCATTTAGGTAACTAGTATCTTTACCCGTGGCGTGCACAGGATAAAGTGATTTTATTTTTTAATTTTAGTCTATGTGTGCGTGTGTACGGGTGTATGTATGCGTTATTATAATTAGCGGAAAGTCTTTTATTAAATCGATTATAAGATAAGTTGGGAATGCATATTCTCATTTATTGGATATGTCTTATTTTTTTACTAATTATCTAAACATGTTGTCATTCTATATTTTCTAATTAAAAGAGCCCGTTTTTTTATAACAATCAGTTGCATTCAAATGAAAGTATTCTTTTTAATCAGCTTTACCTGATAAAAAAGGAAGTTGCTTAATGCCCATTCTTATCTATTAGATTTAGTCTATGACTTTCTGTAATTCTGTTTTTTCAAAAGTGACCACATTTTTTCTAATTTATATACTCCATCCGTCCCCTTATAATTGTCCTATTTTTCCATTTTTGGATGTCCCCCTATTATTGTCTCATACCATAATTGGTAACATTCATGTGACTTTAATTCATTCTTACTTTATTTCTACTTTATGAACTCATTATCAACCACATAATTATACTTTTCTTAAAAACCACATTACTCTCTTTCGTTCCAATATTAGGGGGACAAAGGTAGTATTTAATAATGGGTGTAGTCATTTTTGTAAAAATATTAGCCTTTCTAGATCAATTTTAAAATTCAGCAAATTAGTCCTTTGATCCTTTATTTACGAAAAAGTTTAGAATATATAGTTTTGTGACATTCTGGTTTTAGTGAAGGTTATGGCCGCGACATTAGTTTGCATAATGCGATTGGTAGTGGTTGATTCATTTTCATTAGTATTGAGATCTTGATGGTGTTATCATATTCTTAGAATGATAGGAGTAGTATTTTGATCTTATAAAGTAAAATTGGGGGTTATTGAACTAACAAAGATTGCATATTTTAGACTTTTAGTAGATAATTTTTACCTAGAAGGTTAAATGAAATAAATATAGAAAAAGGTTCTTACATCAAGTGGTAGTTAAGATATAATTGAAACATAAACTTATCAAACTATTCGTTGAAAAATAAAAAAATAAATGTCCCATATTAAAAAATGAAAAATGATCTTAAATTTCATGTTCAAATAGTACTATATTAAAGTTACATCCATAACTAAAAGAATTCCGGAGTCCCATATATTGGTTGTCTCGTATTTGATATATTGGTAATCCAAAGATACATAAAATAATTTTGATTATTGTTCAAAATAATCACTTTTTCAAACTTGAGAGTAATTACTCCTATTTTGGGAGTAGAACATGACCGTCCTTTTTTTGAATTTGCAAACTTTTTTACTCCTATTTTTGCAAAATTTCCCAAAAATATATCAAAATTCATCACTTTTTATTATGTTTCATACTATATATTATGCTAATATTAAATATATAGAAATAAAATAATAATTTAACATTTTCAAAAACATCTAATATTTACAAAAAAGTATATAAAAATCATCAATTTTTATATTATCTTTCACATGACACCAATATTGCATATATATATATAAATTAATTTTTTAAATTTGTGCAGTTTATGTATTTCTTTTAACCATGCACACTACAAATCCGGAGTGACATCTTAGAACAAAACTGCACAAATTATAACGCAAATAATAAAACAATAAATAAAAGTAGTGGAGTTTGTACAGTTTTATTCTAAGCTATCGCTCTATTAATGGGGGAAATAATAAATATCTCAAACTTTGAATGTGTGTGATGAATATATCAAACTTGCATATGCAATATATATAATCCAAACTCTATAAAAATTTATTTCTTCACCATGCTGATATGGTTTGTACACATATAAATTTATTGAAAATAATTTGAAATACTCTACGCTTTGCTTAGATGCATTTAACAATCTAAAAGGTCATTTGTGAAATAAATAATATTACATCCGATATAATATAATTTTAATTGCATCATCATAAGTGTTTTGTGAATTTTAAATTATGTACTTCAAATCATTAAATTACATTTGTTAAAAAACTCTATGATCATAGTGTCAACATAATTGTTTATATGAAGTTGAAGGTATACATATTACATGTGCAAGTTTGATAAGTCCCCTAAATAATAGGAGTTGTATTTTAGTCGAGTAGTACTTTTATTTTACTACAATTATAGGTTGGCAATTAAGGGGAAGGTTAATAATTGCCAACATATAATTGTAGTAAAATAGAGGAAGGTAAAAACTAGAAAATATTTTTTTACTTTACATATTCAATATTGGTGTCATCTGAAATATAATAAAAAGTTGTGATTTTAATATATTTTTCGTAAATGTCGAAGTACAAATAAAAGGTATATCACTTTAAAACAATAAGTGTTTTTTAAAGTGTTAAATCATTTTTTAAACCAAGGGAAAAGGGATACTTATTGCTTTCAAATGTGAAATATCTATGGTGGGTGTACACAAATGATAAAAAAAACGTTAAAATTGATCCGTTTGAAACTTTAGTGTCGAATATGAGATACACATGAACCCATAGTGTCCAATTTGGTTCAATTGAAACCTTAATGTCCAATATGAGATTCTCATATAACCGTAGTGTTTAATTTGACCCTTATCCCATAAAAAATTTAGAGGAAGGTAAAAATCAGAAAATATTTTTTTACTTTATATATTCAATATTGGTGTTATATGAAAGATAATAAAAGTTGTGATTTTAATATATATTTTTGTAACAGTAGAAGTACAAATAAAGGGTGAATCACTTTAAAACAATAAGTATTTTTTAAAGTGTTAAATCATTTTTTAACTTGTTTAAAAAATCATTTTTTAACTTTTGTATGTTCAATATTGATGTCACTTGAAAGATAATAAAAAGTTGTGAAATTTGCTATATTTTTTATAACAATCGGAATACAAATCAAAAAGTTACGTTGTATAACACATTAGAAAAACATGATATTTTAGTTTGTTGGGTCTCCTAAATGATAATAGGAATTGTATTTGACTACAATTATAAGAGGAAGATATTAATCGGATTCCTATTAATACGGAGCATTACCTTTAATTGGATTCCTAATTTCATATTATTTAGAAATTGATTTTAAAACAATAATGGCAACAATTTCCCAACCTTATCTATAGATAGATAGATCGGTATTATTTGTTCTTGGCCTGGCCCAAGTAGGACATGGGGGATACTAGGCTTTCAACATAGACGAAGGCATCACAAAACTCGTTAGCAGACTCACGTGGAACAATGATTCGTGAAATAGGTTGGTGACAATCCTCCTTGGAGTTGAGGATGACGATCTCACCTAGACAATATAATTGGGTCATGAGTAAGAGCTTTCCATCTTCGTACAAATGCAAAGCAGCGGTTCTGGTGAACTTGCAGTCGCCGGAGAAGGAGGGTCGTCCATCCAAGGCGGGGTGTGGAACGTCGCACAGCTTAGTCCACGATTCCTCCACTCCGTAGTCTTTCATGGCCCACAATGCCAGGTTTTTCTCCGCATAAGTGCTCACGTAAACACACAACATTCCTTTCAACACCGTGAGTTTAGAACAGTAGGAATCAGCTATTGAGATGGGGAAAAACTTGGATTGCGGAACCAATCCGTACCTTTCACTCGACAGATCAAAGGAAACAATGGATACGGAGGTTTTCTTGCATGTTGTGTAAGATATGGTGTTATATTTGATGGGGTACCCGATCCAGTGGAGGGCTCCGCCCACAGGAACGGTGGTGCTGTCTGTATCAAGCAACAGGACGGTGGTCGAACTTTTCGCCGGCGGAAAACAATGATTCTGAATCTTTCTCCAAGCATTGCGCCGGAGAGAGTATACATGTGTCTCCATGCATAACCGGCCGGTCCAAGGTTGGGCGGCGGGCGAACCGAATTGGTGAACCCGCAACAGCTTGTAATCGTCCCCACGTGCGTCATACCCCACCCCGTAGCTCTCCCTGAGCCTGCTCCTGCCCGGCAGAGGAGGCGGCGGGTCGGGGAGTTTGACATAAGAAGAAGAAGAGAGAGACGGGTTCCAAAGAAACAGGGATTCTCCGACGCTGACACACCACAGTTCTGGGCAAAAGACCTTCAGCATAATGTACCCACGACAACCTTCGTACAACGTTAACGGCGGCGGGGAGGTGAGATTGGTGGTGCCCTCTAGGCATTGGTTTGATACGGAAGAGAGGGTGCTTTTGCAGGGCTCAATGCCCATGGGCTGGCCACGCTTCGGCCCGAAAGCGAACATGTACACAGAGTATATGTAGAGTTTATGCTCCGGGTGCCGGTGGCCGTCGTGGTTGAACACCAGCTTCGGCCTTCTCCTGATGCCTTCGGTGACGTGTTTTCTGGTGAACCAAGGCTCGGAAATAAGGGATTTCCATGGGCGTGACACGCAACGGAACCGCAGCAAGGATCTCACCGGAAGCTTCGATAATATTTCTTCTATGATATCTGAAGGGATATCATCCATTAAATATACAAGCTGCTAGGAAGTTATATTAATTCCAGTACCTACGTTTCTATATATACACATGCACGCACTTCTCACCAATCCTCATCTCCAAAGCTCTGATTAATTAATAACTAACGAACCTTAAATCAGGAGAAATGATTAATTAATTCTCGCATACCCTGGAGACTAGGACGTACTCGATGAGATGTATGGATGAGATCGAGATTGCAAACTAAACCACACCATTTTGCCCCATATGACCATATCTATAATTTTTTATATAGCAAAATTAAGTTAAAAATAATGATGTGTCACTTTCTAATTGGATAATACAAACTTATTTATCACTACTACTAAAACTATTTATTAATTCTCGGCTTCTATTTATTAAAATATCACTATACTATTGATTCCCCTCCAATTGTGCATCACCAATGGTTTGGTAAAAAAAACTCGATAATTCTTTAACAAAAAATAAGCACGGTCAACACTATGGCTTTTTTGTGGCAATCATCCATGCATTCATTTGTTTGTTGGAGTTATTTAATTGAACACCAAATTTTTAGGTTATCTACTATATACAAACTTCTTACATTCATATATATGGAGTCCGGGATTTTTTTTAGAACATTTCCTGCATAGGAGTAAAAATGTTTTGAAATTCCAAAATAGAAGTATCATGTTTTTTATTCACTGAATATGAGTAAATTTTTGTTAAGTTTGGCATTACAAGGCTTTAAACATGACATTTTTTCAAACTTGGTAGATTACTCGTATTCAGCGAATAAAAAACATGATACTCCTATTTTGGAATTTCAAAACATTTTTACCCCTATTTAGGGCAATTTCTTTTTTTAGAAATCCTAAAGTATTGCCTATTTTTTAGGCTAAACCAAAATAAAATTTCATGTGTTTTTAAAATGTTATAACTTTTGTATTTGTACTCCAATTGTTATGAAAAATATATAAAAATTCATAATATTTTATTATCTTTCAAATGACATCAATATTGAATATATAAAAACAAAAATTTAAAAAAATAGGGAAAGTATTGACACATGTCAACTCTACGATTATTGAATTAAAACCTGTTGAGGAAAATAGTTATTGTTATCAAGTTTGTCTAGAGTCTTGTTATCTTAATTAGAATAGTTTTATCTTTTATAGCTTCTATGTAAAAATAAATCAACTAAGGGAATAAGGGCCCAAAATGGTCTTAGGCCCAAAGTTCTAGGTTACCATTTTGATACCTGTACCTACGCCTATAAATATGCATACATGTGGTACAGGACCGGATGATCGAATAATCAGCAATATTGATCCTTTTCATTCAAAGTTCTCGTTCCCAAACTTTTTGATAGTATAGCGTAAGGATTTCTTCTGTTCAGATTATTTCTTGATCATTATTAAGAATCCTTCTCTATATTATCGTAGATTACATTTAGCTGTTCTTTGATCTTGTTATTTGGGACCAACAACTGGTATCAGAGCCGATCGAGTACTGATCTTCATCTAAGAAAACTGCGAAGAAATACTCTGTTTTAAGCTTCTCGATGTTTTCTTAAATTTGCTTTTGTAAACCTGTTTGTGGACATTCATTTGTAAAAGTTATACTGCTGAATTCGCCATTCAAAAACGAACCAGGAGTTTTACAGCGGAAAAAACGAACTAGGAATAATAACTTTTATTTGAAAACATCAGAGTTTTACAGCAGAAAAATATTCAAAGGGAAACAGGGGCGTTACCGCCACACCCGGTTCTCTCTTAACTGAGTGCGTAGGCAAAAAAAAAAATACTCAAACTCCAAAATGATTATTTAAATCTTGTAAATTTACTACATTGGTTACTATAACTACGTTTTCTAGCGGAGACTCTCTCGAAATCAACAACTTCGTCAAATCATCACCTGTATAAAATCAAGTACTGAAAGAAAAACAAAAGAAAACAAAAATTAGCAACAATGCTAAGTAAGTTCCATCCAACCCCGTAAAACAATATAATTTGATACATATACATTTTTGTAAAACATTTTCGGAAAGAAAAATATTTTTAAAAGCACTTTCTGTTAATAATAAGTAAAACCATATTTATACGAAGTTCTCATAAAATATCTCTGTTGGATAATTGATACCCATATTGTATGAATAAGGAGAGATTGATCAAAAATGTGGAGAAAGAAATAGGTGTGTATAGAGTATGGACTATGAGTTCTATGAGTTGTGTATACAAGTCTCATATAAGGAGTATATATAGGGAAAATCCGGGCCTGGACCTCCAATACGGGCCTGACAGACCCGACATAAATGGACTGATAGTATAAAAAGCTAATCTAGAACATCTGAATAATAATGTACAATAATATGAATCCGCTAAACGTGTGTGGGCCGCTGTCCAAGCCCAGTAGTCGGCATACCGGGGGGTCGGAGTCCATATACTCCATCAGGAGTCCCCCACTCCCTGAGTCGAAAGTACTCGAGGCGAAAGGGAGTAGTCCAAATTGTATCTGCAACGTTCTTCCTCTTCGGCTGGGGGACCACCACCCTTGTCAATAATGGGGAGATGCCTCGTTAAAAACCTTTACTAGGAAAAACCCAGTGGGAAAAAATCCTAATAAAGGGAAAAAGAGTACACCTAGCGCCCCCAACATTAAACAAGGAAGGTAAGTCCCTCCCGACATAATCAATCTAGCTCAGCTCCTCTTCAACCGAATCAGCTCTTGTTCCTGCTCATGCGTGATATTTTCTTCTCATCTAAAACTCTGACCCCTCAGTCCCCCAGTCCCCACTCTTTGAAGCGAGTGGAGACGAGGTGAAAATGAGTAAAGTCATCTTTGTACCTACACATTTAACATACATATAAATTTTTTCTTGGGATTTATGTTTCCGATCGGGAGTTCGTTACTTGAAAATAAGTGGAGATGTGAATTGTTAATGTAATGATAAAATACTTAGTAGAATGGATGTGTGAGCCATTCGTAAGCAACGGTCGCCACTCGAGCAAGGAATGACTAAGACCGGTCTTCGTACCCAACTTGGTCAGGGTTTTGTCTTCGTGCCCGACTTGGTTGGGGCTTTGTGCCTGAGGAGACATGGCTTTGTGCCTGAGGAGACAGGGCTTTGTGCCTGAGGAGTCAGAGCTTTAAATCCTATTGATGGGTCTCAAGCCACACTCTACTAGGCATTTGATCATAAGTGCGCGATAGTGTGACATTCACCAGACAAAAGAAATTATTTAAATAAATATACATAATATGAAATTAAGGAGTACTCATCTTTTTGAAGTGGGATGGAATAATGGACTATTTGGTTGGATCATATATGACCCGGCACACTGCTTCCCTCTTAGCCCAAAAAGTCAGCTGGACTTTTTCTTTTTAATTGTTGACTGGAGTCAATTGAAGTGCTTGACCACTTTTGCGAATGATGTGTGCGGGCATATCACATGTGGCCTGGCCCACTGCCTTACTCTTGGTGCATCCCAATTAGTATGAATCTTGGCAGATTTTTAATTAATCTGGGCCAGACTCACATCATGCGCGTTAGGTGTGGAGATAAGGAGGCAGGCCATTGATGCCAGAAAGGGATGGAACCGACAGGTCATCCCTGTCCTTGATGTCGCCGGAAAGGGATGGAACGCGGATCTGGATGCCGCCGACCAGAGAGCAGACGTCCTCGAAGATCATGCCTGACGCGTCTCCGTGGTCGTCGCTGGGAAAGAAGCAGCCTTCGTCCAGCTGAGCCGTCTCCAAATAGAGAGGAATGTGAGGCCCCTAAAAATAAACGGCACTGGAACTGAGGTGGAAGAACGAGCGACGGTGTTTCGACTTGCTGGCCAGTGCGGTGGCAAAGTCCGATGCAACTGGCGTCCGGAGTCGTCTGCCGGCGAAGTGATTGGGTAGAAGGAAACAGGCGCGAGCGGTGGTGTTGCGACACTGGTGGAGCCAAGAGCGAGCTGTCGTCGTTGTACGCCAATGATAGGTGGAGGAACTTGGCTTGCTAAGCTTGCCTTTTCTAGATCCAAAAGTGTAAGATTCCAACCTGGAAACTATAGCCGGCGGTTCACGGCGGCGGGAGAGATCTGTGTCGATGGTTTCTAGCCGGCTGCAGGGGTGCTAGACTAGGAGTGGGGCGATGCTACCTGGGGGCTGGGGCGCCGATGCAAGGTGACGGTTGCTCCGGCCAGTTCTTCAATTGCGTTTGGTGAGTTCCAGCAAGCTTGAATGGAAATTGTAAAGTTGAAGCATGCTTTTAGCTCAGAGCCCTGCATCTATACGCCTAGGAGCTTCAGTAGGCCATAAATGGCGGACACAACTCGTGAAGCTAGAGAAAGTAGAGAGAGTTTTGGCCAGTGAGGGCACTTTTGGACAGATGAACGAGCTAAAAACGACCGGAGGAGGCGCCACGCCGAAGGAGGATTGAGCTGCGCGTCGCGGGCCGGACTGGGCCGGACCTGATCCCTCCCTTGCTACTTCGTTGACTTCAGTTCTGTTCTAGCCAGAACTACTTCACAGGACCATTCTAAACTCTTTTTTCTTTGCATTTCAGAAAGATCTCGACTGATTTCTTGTGATTCCAACTGTTTTGGATGAAGTTTTTCAAGATTGGTATGAAATTTTTGGTATTTTGGGGAGGTTTTCTCACTTGATTGTGTTCAACCTCTGAACGAGAGCACCATTGTTGGATAATTGATACCCATATTGTATGAATAAGGAGAGATTGATCAAGAATATGGAGAAAGAAATAGGTGTGTATAGAGTATGGACTATGAGTTCTATGAGTTGTGTATACAAGCATCCTTCCTATAAGGAGTATATATAGGGAAAATCTTGGTCTGGACCTCCAATACGGGCCTGACAGACCCGGGTACATAAATGGACTGATAGTATAAAAAGCTAATCTAGAACATCTGAATAATAATGTACAATAATATGAATCCGCTAAACGTGTGTGGGTCGCTGTCCAGGCCCAGTAGTCGGCATACCGGGGGGTCGGAGTCCATATACTCCATCAATCTCATTAACTATAATAATTCCAAAAAAAATACCAAACACTCATAAAACACCAAAACTTCTCTTCTGTTTGAATTTCTCAAAAATCACTTTTTCACTAACTTCCTAGTAATTTACAAGGGCGGTGCTCAACACTTTGGTTGAGCCCGGTGGTCCGTTGTTATGTACGGCCACCCCGGGACTTTTGCCGGTACCACAACTGCTCAATGGAATCGGAACAACTACCGTAAGTGTGCACACCCCTTAAAGGGATTCCAAGCCCTCCAGGTTAGTAAGTCGATCCGAGTAGCCGGGATGTTTTCTACCAACTACCACACCTCAATATTCTTCTGAGTGATTAGGACCACTACTACGACTACTTCTACTACTCAAAAGCTGGGGTTTTTTCTACCGACCCTCCACATTTATCCGGATGTGGAAAACCGACACCAAAAATTTCTCTCATGGTGCTCACCTTTTATAAAAATATTAATTCTTCTTAGAGTAGTAGTAGCCTGAACCACCCTCCACATAAGGCAATGAAGTGTTACGTAATGGGCCGTTAGTGCAATATTGCAGTGTTACCGAACAGGGCATGCGGGATTGCGGGTGTAGTGTTGACTGTTGAACAAGAAGGGTAATTTAGAGAAGAAGTATCTTATTGGTCACATTTTTGGAAGTTAAAAAAAGATGTCTTTTTTGTCCATTACATTTTTTAGGTAATATTCATGTCAAAACCCCAATAAGCAATCCCCGAGTAGTAGACAAAAGATTTTTACACCATCGCTACCATATGTAGTGTTTTTTTCTAGCATACTTATAAACACTCCATCTATATATTTTTTTTAATTAATTTAATAGCGCAATATAGCTCATCTGCATTCCTTAACTGACCCAATCAATACATTTTCTCCTAACAAACTAACCTAGCAGCAGCCACACAAATGCTCACCGAGTCACCGCTTCAGGGTTGCTTAGATTGTATTTGATTCATATCGGGAAAATTGCCAAATAGACCATCCTAATATATCAAAAAAGTCAATTAGACCTCCAATCTGAAAAAACATCCAATGAGACCTCTAACTATACAAAAAAACTCAAACTTATAATTTAGCCCGTTAAGTTCCGGTTAACCGGTTACATTTTGACGTGGCAGTCCAAGTGTCGTTTTTTGCCTTTTCATTTTATTTTTCTCTCCCCTTTCCTTCGATCCTTCTCTTTCCCACTTTTTCTTGCGGCCCACCTACCTTCTCTTTTTTTTTTTTTTTCCTTCTCTCCTCCTCTGCTATTTCCTCGCAGCTTGGTTTCTCCAGTTGAAATGTTAGGCGGTTTTCATTCGTTACAGAAGGGCGAAGGCTGCCGGAATTCCGGAGCACCCTTTGCCCACCGGAGAAGGGGTTGAACTGAGACCCGGACGGCGGACACCCATATTCAGATGTTCTTTTCATCTTCGCTGGAGACCTGGTTGAACTGGGGTTGGACCATATCGGCTTGGAAGAGGATGCCCGGAGGAAAAGGCTAAGTTCAATAAGCTTGGATGTTTTCCCCCCTTGAATCTGAGTAATCATTGTTAGAATATTTATTTAATTATTAATATTCTAATATTGGTCATGTATTTGGGGTTATATGTTATTAATAGAGTTTGTATAGTCCTAGACATTTAATTGGTTTAATGATAGGCTGAACCTATGTTTAAGTCTGTCTAGGACTAGGGTTCCCCAACCCTCTCCTGTGCCTTTATATATACGCTTATTCCCTATGGAATAACAACACAATATTAGTGAGAGATCTCTATCTGTCAAGAATCTCGTAAGGAAAAAAGCCAGAGGGATAAGGGATTTATTCCAATTCATTCATCTATCATGGATCCAGGTATTCCTGAATCTCAGATCTATCAGTATATAATTATGTATAATTATATTATGCCGATCTTGGAATTTAATCTAACAATTGGTATCAGAGCCAAGTCCAATTTGACATCATAAATTATACGTAACATTCGGTATACGAATCATACATACGCCGTCTCAAATCTCAATCATCTTTCATTCGTATGATCTGGCAGATCAAAATTTTAGTTACTGACAGTGTTTTGCCAAAAGAAAAATTGCATTTAATTAGCACTGTATTCTTTTGTGCCATTTGTATGTTGAACTTTAATTAGGATGAATTTGATTTTTTGTTAAATCTAAGCGTCATCCATTATTTGTTGTCAAAGTGCCTTTAATTTTTGCCGATCCGTTAATACCGGCTTGAGTTTATCGATGAGGATTGTTATGTTCGTTCAGTCGGTTTTGTACGATCTAGAAGCCTGTTTTTTTTTCTAGATTAAATTTAGTCTTGGTTTATAATTATTTGAGGCATTGCATCAAACTTGAGAATTTTGATGTGTTTTGTCTATGACGGCAAATCCCTAAGAATTTATGTTTTCCTTGCGCTTGGACTGTCCAGATGATTTAAGTGAAAGAGCGTAATTCAATATTTGAGTCTCCAAGTTTGTTTTGATCCATTCTATTTACTGGAGTAATTGAATTTACTTTCTTTTTATTTAATTTTATTGACGTAAATTTACTATTGAATTTAATGTTAAATTACGTCAAATTTCAAGACTTCAATTTCTGGACCTACAGCTTCCGCATTTGTTATAGTTCAAGAAATTTATTAGGGAGTTTTATGCACTAATAAAATTTGATGTGATATCAGTTTTGTCTCATGTTATTATTTACTCAATTAATTGTTTAAATATTTTGGTAGCCTAGCTAGTTTATTTAGATCATTTTGTTCAAATTTATGTACTCATTTAAATTTCTAATGATAAGATAGGTTGTTAATCACTAAAGTGATACAACTAGTTTGGTTATTTAGAAATTTGTGATTGAATAGATCAAACTGATCATAATTAATTTACGTTTAATGAACATTTGAGTTTAATTATTTGCGTATAAGGAGTTTGTTAGTCACCAAAGTGGCCTGACTCGCGTGATAGTCAAATAATTAAATTTTTATGACCCGTTTGATTAATTAATCTATGTTTGGTGAACATGTAAATTTAATTATTTACTTATAAGAAGTCTGTTAGTCACCAAAGTGGCCTGACTCAAATGAGAGTTAAATAATTAATTTTTTTATGATCTATTTGATTTATGTCCATAAATGTAACGCTTGTTAGTTACCAAAGCGATCGGACTAAATCAATTTAAGCAATTTAATTGAGTAAAATTTAATACACAACTATATTCGCTCATTTAAATTTCTAATGTTATGATAAGTTGTGAATCACCGAAGTGATTTAATGGCTAACTTAGAAATTTTAATTGAGAGAATGGTCATGATTTTAGTAGATATATATTTAAATTTAGTTATTTACATATATGGAGTTTGTTAGTCACCAAAGTGACCTGACTCATACGGTTTGTAAATAATTAAATTTTATGTAATTACACTTCTACAATCGATTTGATTTATTGTCTATAAATATAATGCTTGTTAGTCACCAAAGTGGCCTGGCCGAGAGTTATTAGACAAATATATCTGAAAGTTAAAATCAATTTTTTATAATTTTAGGATACTAAATAATATAAAAATAATGCATTGAGATTATATTGCTATACGATCACCAAAAGGTGGATCATGCATGTATAATTTTTGCAATTTAAGAGACTAATTTTTATACTTGGATTAAATTGGGTTAATGTCCAAAGACAACACTCATTTAGTGATGTATAATTAATTGTCTAATTTTGTATATTATTTGGCATCATCTTATGTATATATTTAAGAATCACCCAAAGGTGAATTTAAGCATATATGTTTAGGTTTTCTAAGAATGAATCTGTATTAGTTAATTCAAAGCATTAGTAGTAAGCATGTATATTGTTGCAGCTTCGTTAAATCTCTTATCGTCCACGAACGATTTAATTAGGGAATTCATGTTAGCTATCAAGTCAAGCAAGATTGATACACATTTAGGTTTCGTGTGTTTCGAATCAAATCTCATAGAAGTTCCTAATAACACTTGGTGGTTAGATTCGGGTGCTTCTACTCATGTTTCTCACATTATGAGGGGATTTAAGTCCATCCAACCAATAAGGGGAAATGAACAATTTCTATTTATGGGGAATAGGATGAAAGCACGTATCGAATGCATAGGAACATATATGTTGATCTTAGACACCGGATGTCCTTTAGATCTAGATAATTGTCTTTATGTGCCTGATTGTGCTAGAAATCTTGTTTCAGTTAGTAGGTTGGATGTTTCAGGATTTCATATCAAGTTTGGGAACAATACCGTTTCATTATTTAAGGATAATTTTATTTATGGATTTGGTCTGTTGGTTGATTCTCTGTATCGTTTTAATCTTGATTTGAAATTTAGTGAATCTCTATTTAATGTTGAAAATAATGTGGGAGTTAAGCGTAGTGCACTAGATGAGGACTCAGCTTTCTTGTGGCACCAACGTCTTGGTCATATTTCCAAGGATAGGCTAATGAGGTTAGTTAAGAATGAAATTTTACCTCAATTGGATTTTAGTGACTGGGATGTGTATGTTGATTGCATTAAAGGAAAGCAAACTAAACACACAGTAAAGAAGGCGTCCACAAGAAGCACTCAATTGTTAGAGCTTATGCACACTGATATTTGTGGTCCTTTTGATGTTCCTTCTTGGGGTGGAGAAAAATACTTTATCACCTTTATAGATGACTACTCACGTTATGGTTACATCTATCTTCTGCATGATAAGGCCCAGTCGGCAGACATCCTAGCGGTGTCTGTCAACGAGGTGGAAAGGCAGCTAGAGAAGAAAGTTAAGGTTGTGAGATCTGATAAAGGTGGTGAGTATTATGGGAAATCCAATGAATATGGACAATGTCCAGGTCCATTCGCTAAATTCCTTGAAAGTCGAGGCATTTGTGCTCAATACACAATGCCGGGTACACCACAACAAAATGGTGTAGCTGAGAGGTGGAATCGTACGTTAATTGAAATGGTTAGGAGCATGTTAAGTTATTCTACCTTACCCCCTTCGTTGTGGATGTATGCATTAAGGACTGCTGCATATCTGTTAAATCGGGTTCCTAGTAAGGCAGTTCCTAAGACCCCTTATGAATTGTGGACAGGTAGGAACCCTAGTTTGAGACATCTCCATATTTGGGGGTGTCCTGCAGAAGTAAGAGTATACAATCCGCATGAAAGGAAACTTGATCTGAGGACAGTCAGCGGATTTTTCATTGGCTATCTTGAAAAGTCGAAGGGGTTTAGGTTTTATTGTCCTAGTCATAGTACGAGAACTGTAGAGACAGGCAATGCTCGGTTCATTGAAAATGGTCAAGTTAGTGGGAGTGGTGAACCACGAAATGTGGTCATTCAAGAACAAAATGATAATGCCATGTTCCCACATGTCGGACGCATCAATAGCATCTCAAACACCAACGAACGACCTGAGTATATAGTTAGCGACGCAATCACTAATGATTAGAATGAAGGTGTAGTTGGTGAACAAGATACTAATGAGCATGTTGTGACCACTTCAAATGAACATGTCATCACTCAAGAAAATGATAATTCATCAGAAGGAATAGCGTTAAGAAGGTCATCTAGGGAAAAACGATCTGATATTCCAGATTACTATTTACTATATTCTGTTGAGCATGAGTGTGACATGAGCATTGGTGATGATCCAGTCTCATTTAAGGAAACCATGGATAGTATAAACTCAGATAAGTGGATTGATGCCATGAATGAAGAGCTTAAATCCATGTATGACAATAAAGTCTGAGATTTAGTTATGTTGCCTGATGGATCCAAAAGAGTTGGATGTAAGTGGGTCTTTAAGACCAAGCGTGACTCTAATGGAAACATCGAAAGATATAAGGCCAGACTTGTTGCTAAGGGATTTACTCAGAAACGTGGCATTGATTACAAGGAGACCTTCTCTCCAGTTTCAAAGAAGGACTCCTTGAGAGTTGTTATGGCTTTGGTGGCTCATTTTGATTTGGAGCTTCACCAAATGGACGTGAAAACCGCCTTTCTGAACGGAGACTTAGAGGAAAAAGTGTATATGGATCAACCAGAAGGATTTTTTACCACTGGTAAGGAAAATTTTGTGTGTAAGCTACGAAAGTCAATATATGGACTAAAACAAGCTTCCCGACAATGGTATCTTAAGTTTCATAATACCATTTGTTCTTATGGTTTTATAGAGAACACCGTTGATCGGTGCATCTATATGAAGGTCAGTGGGAACATATTTGTAATTTTAGTCCTATATGTTGATGATATCTTGCTTGCTGCGAATGATATGTCCATGATGCATAATGTTAAGAAGTTCCTTTCTAAGAACTTTGAGATGAAAGATATGGGCGAGGCATCCTATGTGATTGGAATTGAAATATTTCGAAACCGTTCACAAGGAATTTTGGGTATGTCTCAGAAGAGCTATATCAATCAGATCTTAGAAAGATTTAATATGGACAAATGCTCTCCAGGTGTGGTTCCAATTCAGAAGGGGGACAAGTTCAGTTTATTACAATGTCCTAAAAATGAATTGGAATGTAAGGAGATGGAAAGAATTCTCTATGCGTCAGTGGTTGGATGTTTGGGATATGTTCAGACTTGTACTCGTCCCGATATTAGTTTTGCTGTTGGAATGCTGGGACGATATCAAAGTAATCCCGGAATGGACCACTGGAAAGCTGGAAAGTTGCAAAGAAAGTTTTGAGGTACTTGCAAGGCACCAAAGATCACATGCTTACCTTTAGGAGATCCGATCAGCTTGAGGTGATTGGATATTCAGATTCAGACTTTGTTGGATGTGTCGATAGTAGAAAGTCAACATCTGGTTATCTGTTCATATTGGCTGAAGGAGCAGTATCTTGGAAGAGCGGTAAACAAACAGTTATTGTTACTTCCACTATGGAGGCTGAATTTGTGGTATGCTTTGAGGCCACTGTTCATGGTTTGTGGTTGCGGAACTTTGTTTCAGGACTTAGAATTGTCGACAGTATAGCTAAGCCGCTGAAAATTTATTGTGATAATTCCGCAGCAGTCTTCTTCATGAAGAATGATAGGTACACTAAAGGTGCTAAACACATTGATTTGAAGTACTTGTCAGTAAAGGAAGAGGTTCAGAAACATAGAGTGTTTATTGAGCATATTGGCACTGGACAAATGATTGCGGATCCGCTGACTAAAGGATTGTCACCCAAGATTTTTAATAATCATGTAATTAATATGGGTGTTATTGATAAAGCCTTGCTATGATAATTTTGTTAGTGATTTATGTTAGCTCATTTTTATATATCATTGTTTAGACACTCATTTGAATACAATAAAGGTTATGTTTCTGGTTTACTTGTTATCTATGTTGATTGTGATCACATATAATTATTTGTAGTGATAACAAGTGTTGAGGATTTAAGTATTCCTCAAATTTAAGATTTGAGACTTTCAGATTTCTCAAATGTTTCAGATGAATTAGGATTGTCTTGTGATACATGAAAGGAAGCATGTCAGTATAAATGGTGTGTAACCGCCATGATCCATTCAATTTGAAATTCAGTTAAGTTTTCTTGGTGAGTTTGGTTTGATGAATATTGCGCAATTTAAGTTTTCATCAATTCATCAAGGATCACATGATCAAGTGGGAGAATGTTAGAATATTTATTTAATTATTAATATTCTAATATTGGTCATGTATTTGGGGTTATATGTTATTAATAGAGTTTGTATAGTCCTATACATTTA